GGGGGGGGGGGGGTCGTGCCGTGTAAATACATGCTCTTGTGGTGGCTTTGGCTAGATGTGTGCGTTGTTGATCTGCCAGCTCGACCACAAGAAGAGGGTTGTCTCGCGTAACCCAGAGGTAGCGGGGAAAGAGCAATTGGTCGGAGCGCACTTGTGCAGTGACAGAATAACCGTAGTACAGTAGCTCCCACAGAAGTTGCAGAGAATCCCGCGTTCCCGGTGCTTGCGTGGGATGCAAGCAGCAGCACGTTCCCGTCACCGGCGACTCTCGAGGAGATAGATGCAAGAACGTTGGTGTTCCCTCCCGGATAGTAAAAAATGTACAAAATATATATCAAAGTTCAGGCAGTCGCGAACGTGTCACGACAGATAGCAAAGCGACAGGGCGCTGAGCGCGCGGGCCTCGAACAACAACACCCTACGCCGCTATATGGCCTCCTCTCCTCCGGCTCCTCAGCACCAACAAGAGGCTCCCGTTCCCCCCCTTGCTCAACACCAACAGGGATCGAGATGTCCACTCCTCGCGAGCTCTTGAGTCTCCGCCGGTACCGCTGCCGCCGCTGTCGCCATTCGTTGAAAAACATTGGTCATAATACCCGACTCGCATGACCCGTCACCTCCCCTTCGCATACAAACACGCTACCCCCTCCCCCCCTCCTCCCCCCAACGACGGTTTCTCCCGCCTGCAAGCAGGGGGCAAACCAAGGGAGGCAGTTTTACACCTGCCCGCGGTCAGACAGGAACGAGCAGTGCAACACGTTCACCTGGCNACGAGGAGTGCGTGCTACGGACGGTGCGAAAAGAGGTGAGTCATGGCGGTGTTTTTTTCCCGTTGACATCAATGTGCTTACGTGTGTATTGTAGAGGGGGAGGAGGGTATGCCGTTCATAGTTTTATTGTGTGGTATGTCGTGATGTCGTGATGTCGTGCGTCGTGGTTGATGCTCTGGTGAGTTCCAGGCCTTGGTACTCTGCCCGCATGGCGAGAGGAGGAGGAGGGGGGGGGGGG